CGTAGTTTGCGTAATTTTCGCTATTTCGCGGATTTCTGGAGTGTCGCGGAATTCCGGGAATTTCTCGACGTTCACGGAAATCGCACATCCGGTGAGCGGTATTGTACCTTGAGCTGATTTTTGGACAAATTCGATCTGAGTGACTCTCTACCATACTCCTACAGTATTCCCACAGTGCCACCAGCAGAAAATCAATGTCACTATTGTTATCAGCACACTGAAAATTCAATGAACAATCCAGTCAAACAAAAACCTGCAAAATTGAGCAGAAACCTACTGTCGACCGTATATTACCGTACCCCGATGGGTTGTGGAACTTCTATGTACCAGATGATGCGACTCGCCGAGCTAAATCGAACGGTGTGCTTGGATTCAGGTTACGTCTATTCTCAAGCGAGATATGGCGATGCGACGCGTATTCCGGTGCACTCCAGTGGAGTGCGGCGCACTTCGCTGCTCTCCGGCACACTCTACCGCAGTCCGGCGCTGCAGCGCACTGTGGCGCGCTCCGCTAGAGTGCGGCGATTTTTTGAGGAATTATGAGCGGTATTGTACGTGTATTCAGTAACAAGTAAGAAATTATAAGCTAAATGTAATATCCGGCTTATACAATTCTCTTTTTGTTTTACGCTATCTAGACATGAATCAAAACATCTACGCTACTATTATCCATTGCAACAACCCTCAAATTCCCACTCGGGAAAGAAGCACTCTTCTCGAGCTCTGTGTTAACCAGGGCTTGGCAAGAGCTGAAAACCGGGAGTTTTGATGCGGAGCCCCCCTCCCCCCTCTTGATTTCGAAAATTTTTTTACGAAGTCCTCTTTGGCCTTTTCCCGCCATCACCATTTCTTACTTGCCTTTTTGTGTGCACGTCGTTCGCCGCAAAATAATGGAAGAACTTTTTGCCATAAAATGGATAGAAAATTTGAAAAATTTGAACTCATTTTGCACCATAAGCCAAACGCATTTTACTCCAAGGTCGGAGTCTGAAACCTAGAGGCCAGCACTTGTTCTGTATCCTCCACATCTCCCTTACTCAAATTTTACTTCTTCCCCTCCTCCCCTTACCCCATCAACCTCTACCCTCCCCTCCACTGAAAGTTATGACAAAAATCTGTAAGAAGAAACATATAATAAAGTGATTAAGGGAAATAGAAAGTCATGCATAATAACACCGCTGGTTTGCTTAGCGGGGCGCGCTTTGAAGGCAGCGTCCGGACAAAATTCCGAACAAAATTTTTCCCGCTTACCCAGGCTTACGATACGAAAAAGCAGTTCGCGGAGTGCGAAAATTTCGAAAACGGGCAAACCTAGAAGGGAAGGGGTAGAGGACATTAGGTCGCCAATAGGCTCCACCCACACGGACAGCTAGCATGAGGCAGTTATGGTGAAGGCACGAGGTTTGTTGCAAATGTCCAGGATCGTCTTTTTCGACGAACTAATGTCCTCTACCCACCCAGAAGCTGTGGTTTTTGAATATGGACGCGCCGCCGAGGTTAAGACGCAGTGCGTGGTGAGACCCTACGTATTGGATGAGTGCGACATACGTACTCTGGCTATCGACGGGGCGGGCAGGTTGCAGAGCGTTCCGGTCGTCACTTCTGCATTGTTTTCTCGCTTCAGAAGCAAATTGATGCGATGCCACTTGGGCAAGAGCTTTATCAGGGCGGGATCCCCTGACTCCACACTTTATCTTCCCGGACGCTGCCTTCAATATCGGAGCAGATTGCACCGCAAATGAGAATTTTCTGAGAGCTATGAAAAAGCCTGAAAAAAAGATCATAAGACGGTTTTTTGCTCGTGCGGAATTCCGTATGGAATGAAGGTATTATATGTAGAAAGCTATGAAATTTATGCGAGCAAAGTGCCTGTTCCAGCGCAGCTGGAGGCTGGAACAGTTCTAGCTAATTCAGGAAGAAGTTGGGGACAGCTTCCATTAAGTAAGTTTTCATAATTGGGCCATAGTCCGAGTCCAGCCACATGCATGCACACACCAAACTGGCAATGGGCCGCATGCATTAAAGACAGTGTCCAGGCAAGTTGGGGGTTTTGGGGTTTCAGTGCCATGCGAAGGTGGCCCCTCCTTAGACACAACATTGCGCAAGTGCGAAGTATAACGCTCAACCTAAAGCAAGAAAAACGACCAGAAAGTGTGGAAACTTACGCCTTGTGGCGGAGTCCTCCGACCCGTTCGAATTTCTGCTATGCGGCAGAGTACGCATGCCGCCACAGTCAAAATCGTAGGGTCTCGCAGTGACTCTGCGTCTTAGCCTGGCGGGTACCGTCGAATTTCAAAATGTAAGGCTTTGAAAAACGCATGTTCTTGCCGTTTTCGCGCCTTCTAATTTGGATTTTCGGATTCAACGTTTCGAATAACCCCCGATAAGTGGACTTTCTAAAAATCGAGTTTTTGCCCGAACACTGCCTTTAACATCCCTACCGGGAGGGGAACGCAGCTTAAAAGAAAGCTTCACATCCTGACTCCAAACCTCTGGATTTCACGCTGTCTACCTATCCGTAGGTATTCCTACTATCCTGCACTTTGAACATATTGAACAGGAGCGAGAAGCTGTACAAGCCGCATTTTCCAGTTTTTTATATGATTCCCTGGTGGTCCCCAGCAGTCGAGCTTCATTTCTTCACGGTCATTTTTATGCGAAATGTTTACGGGTCATTTGAATGTAGAGTGCATGTTTCCGATAAGAACGAGTGATGTATTGGAGTCATGAAATTTGCGAAGAACTACAAGTCAAAAGTTGGGGTTTATCGATTCGACTTATCAAAATCATTTGTACTCATCAGCAACATGCGCAGCACTGTTGAAGTAGATAATCAGTACAACTTTGGTTTTCGTTAATTTTGAATAAAGAAAAAACATTCGAAGTTAAGAGGGTCGGCCACCGGGAATCATGAGGGGATCGTACAAAAAGCTGGAAAAGCGGCTTGTCAGCTTCTCGCTCGCGTTCAATATGTTTGTGGTGGAGGATGTAGGAATACTTACTGATAGGTAGACAGCGTGAAATCCGGATATCTGGAGCTTCAAGATATGAAGCTTTATTTTGAGCCCCCCTCGCAGGCGGGAATGTTGGTGCAGGCCCTATGTCAGAGTTAGCTTCTGAGATACTACTGGCAGAATTAAAATTGGAATTGGATTCCTCCATAGTTTTCCATGTTCACGCAATAGCCACAAATTTGAAGAGAAAGTAAATCTTACGCAACAGCACCTGGACTTTCCGCAAGCAGAACTTCTTGATGGAGCTATTACCGCAAACATAGCGCAAGCAGAACAGTTAAAGCAAAAGATTTGTTACGAAAATCTCATGTTTGAAAGGTTATGGTAAATAGTCTCCTAAAACTTTTATTGCACTTTTTCTTCCAAAACTGTCGCAGTATTTGGAGTGCCTTTCTCCTAAAGCTTCTGAAATAAAGATTAATTGAAACGAGCCCTCTCATCTTGCATTCGCAAAGCATCGCTGCGCAAGTTTCTAAGTCCTCTGTAGCACATTAAAAACTTACAAAGCTCCTCATCAGCGGCTGAAACGGTCAATTAATGGTCATTCGAATAAGGCTAAGTGCTCGTAATCACAAACCAGAAAGTGGACTCGATGGTGAATCATCGTTCATTAAAAGCTTTCAACCGCTCACGAACTTCGTTTTTCTAGCTATGCATACGAGCATACCACTGCTCATACATCGCTTAGGATTATAAGGAAGATTGCATATTCGACATCTCGTGATTCCTCTATACTACATATTTCATGCATTGAAACAAGTCTTGTGGTGCTGATCACCACCTTATCTAAATGATAATCAATTCTCTGCCAGAGCGGCCCCAGAAATCTTTTTTTCTTGACGCAGCGGGGGGGGGGGGGGAAGAGAGAGAGGGAGGGAGAGGGTGCTTCAAAAGTTTTGATAAGTGGCAGAAGTTTTCAGCTAGCTTCTCCTGGAAAGATTTTGGGACGCTTTCAAATTCAGAAGCCTCGAAAGATTTTGTAATTAAAATGGTTCTATATTCATAGCACTGATAAAACCATGTAGTTAATTACAAATACGAACAAGTTGACCATAATTTTTTTGACTCAAGAACACTTCTAGGAATTGTACACTGTATAAGGCTCAAATACTCTCATTCATATGTTGAAGTTGTTAGTAAGGTATTGTGATGGTGTTGAGATGATACAAAGAAAATTTTCTTGCCATTACCGTATAGCCATCAATTTTTCTGGAATATCTGCTGCTCTAATATAACGGCTACCGTTGCATAGAACCCCTAAATTTGCGATCACACAATACTTTTTTAATGTTTTCGTGCTTCTAAAAAATTTCCGGCTGACCTACTCTAAAAACAAGAAATGCTCCGAAGTTACTACCGTAATCTTTAGTAATAGTTGGAATAAGCTCTTTAATGTCCCATTTCAAAGTTCATGAAACATGGAGCCAAAAAGTGCAGTCTGACAAATAGTAAGGCAGCTTTTGGTACACCTTTTGGATAAAGAGATACTCTCGAATTTCCTCCATAGCTTCACCGATTTTTCGCCGAACCAATATGGAGATGCCCCAGTAGGTCATATCTACCTAGAAACAGAATGTGTAATGAAGTGGTTGCATTAGGGTAGGGGACCATATGTCGCCGAACGTGGGAAGTCTCGTCGGACATCTGCAACAATTACACATTTCAGTGCAGGCACAGGCTGAATATCTGCTGCTGCGGGACTCTCCCAATTTCGGCGACATGTAGTCCTCTATCCCATTTACGAAACTGCACATATTACGCAGTGTGTATTGGATACCTGGCAAAGCCCATTCACGCAGCAACAAAAACCGCGGGAAGTATGAACAAGGTTCCAAATATGCGGCGAGAACGGATATTTCGCGTAGTTTTCATGACATGGTGATTCAGCAGTCGGATGATGTGCGGACCAAATCATCCTAGAGTATCAGCAATCCGATGAAGGTCAACACAATGCAAACCTTCAGGTGACTCAGTGCCGTACACACACGCATTCTCAACGGTCCGAGCGACGCTCCGCCCGTCATTCCGTGGCGATTCGCGCCTATGGTGTTTGTACAAGGCGCGTCCTGAATACGAGCCATCTTCACGAACGCATTCAAATGCATGCATTCACTGGCGCTTTGCTTTCTCTACTCGTCAAATCCGCTTATTCACTATATAAGGACGTCGTTTGCCACAAAAATTGGTACCTTGACACTCCTCGGCCAGCGCCAAGGTGAGCCTTGAAAGCATTGGACGCAAGTGCATTGCGGCATTGTGCACAATTTTTTCCACAGTTATAGTAAATCAGCGAAAAAGAAAAAAAATCGATTTTTTTTTATCCGCTGTGGCTTGCGTTCTCAATTAACGCCAGCAAATTCTATGAACTTCTTGTACTACATATTAGGTCATTACATAGGATTTGCTACACTCAAAGTAAAAATTCCCATAAAATCTCAAAAGTTTTACTTCGTTTTCGAACAACCTAGATCGTCGTAGCTTTTAGATATACTTATCTCACACATAAGAAGTATAATTTTTTGATTTTCAAAATTTTACCGAAATAATTTTGGCAGCTTTCCAAATAGCGCTATTGTTGAGCTTGAACTTCCAAATTTCCTTCGAGTTAGCACTGATGTCGGCAACTCTATGAAAAACCTAAGTTAAGAAAAGAAAGTGAGCGAGCCTTCAAAAGGAAAAGAAAAAATGAAGAGCGTCTGCACAGAACTGCCATATTTTGTTGTCTATAAAAACATTCAAAACATTCGGAATTTCATTCTAAACTAAAGATTCGAGCGACGATTGTCTCGAGAATAGAGTCAGAAAACAGAGTAAGCCGACTTTTTCAAAATGTTCTTTTATCACATTTAGAAGTTTTAAAGACTTTTTATTGAACTCCAGTAGTAAAGTAGACTCTTCAAAGCACAGTACATGTGGGAATGCCCTCAAAATGTGTTATGTGCACTGCAGGTTGTTTGTTTGCGGTTCTTTTTCAACCTGCAAAAAATGAGCCGATCTAACTTTTCTGAATTAGTAGGTCATATACCCAAAAACATCAAAGTAATCCAAAAGAATTGTTGACAAGAGTTCTGTTAGAAAATTCTTGATAGGGTCTTTTGAGAGTTACCGTTGAGCCCAACTTATAGACCATTTTCAGGAAATGTCCCCCGCCGGATTTTGTTTCGTACTACGAGTGTTGTGGAGAGAGTGATAACTGCTGCCGACGGGTGCGCATTGAACTGCTGTTAGTTTTCTTTGTTTATGTTTCTGCAAATCCTCTCTTGCATAAGATGCAAGTAAAAGATTGACGTTTCTATAAAGGAGAGGTTGTCCCAAAAGTAAACCTTTTTTTTAATAAATCAGAGTGCCTTTGTTTTCCTAGCAGATTCAAGGTACCATTCGATAAAACGAAACAAGCTTTACAAAATGAGCTCCAGAGTTCTATCTAATTCATGATCCAGGTAAAATTTGGATCCAAAAATCAAAAATTTTCGACGACCCCAAAAAACGGATCTCCTTAAAAAATCCCTAAGGACTACGTAATCGTTATACAGTAGACACATAGTAGTACTCAAAAATGTATTTGGTTGATTTTTTGGGTTCAAAATTGAGAAACAAAGATGGTCCCAATATGCCAAAATGCCGCTTTTTTCGAGTTTTTCATGTAAAACCTGGTATTTGTCGATTATAAGAGACATACAACTTAAAAGTTTTAGAATTATACTTAGTAAGGCTTGTAGTATAGAACGACATATGTGGGAGGAGCTGAGGGCGGAGTTTGCCATTTTTGAGCTATCTTTTTTCTCGTTTTCTAAAAGCGCAAAAAATCCAATAAAGGCATATTTGAGTACTACTATGTATGTGTCTGCTGTATAATGACCAAGTTCGAGTTCTTTAGAATTTTTCTTCGCAAAAGTCCACTTTTCAGATGATAAATTTTTCTGATTTTTGCTCCACACGCTACCTGGATTACGACTTAAGCGGATCTTTGGTAAACCTTATGTAGAATTTCCTTCGCTATTTTCGAATGGTATCCTAATTCTTCTAGTAAAACAAAAACAGATGGTTTATTTAGAAATATGGTTTACCTTTGGAACAACCTAATGACTATAAGGGTTGGTTAAAGGTGTTAGTAAATAAAGCTGCGCAACTTTCCAATGAAAGCGATGAGAATAACTGAGGAGGAAAAACTAATTGTTGGTTTCTTCTCTAAGCTCTGAAGGGCTGATCAACTCCACACTCATCAGTCAAGTGTCTGCCCCTTCCCTCCCAAAACCTATCCCATCACCATTGCAACATCTGTCATTCATTTAGGGTCGCATGAACATCCTCAGGGAGAAAAACGCAGTTTATTATTACAATTCCAATTTCATTTCTTAAATTTCATATTCTGAAGCTCTGGACAACTCGACTTCTTGCTTTCTTTCCATTCATCAAGCGTTCCTTTTACGCTTTTTTGTAAACATGGAACATGAGCGAGAAGTCCAAACCGCATTTTCCAGCTTTTTGCAGATCCTCGGCAACCGACCATTCTTTCTTTAAAGTCAGTTTCGAAGTTGTGAAAATATCCCAGAGCCATCGATTATCCAACAGCATGTTTTTATAAGAACTCATAGTATTGAGATTTCCGATAAGCCCTAACTTTCAACCTGTGGTTCATCCAATTTTTGTGACTTTGGTACATCATTTGTTCTTACCAGAAAAGTGCTTAGTACTACCGAGTTAGATAATCGGTGCGACTTGCACATCAACATCAAAGAGTTAAAAAATGACTTTGAAGAAAAGACGGTCGGCCGCCGAGGATCATCAGGAGATGATGCAAATAGCTGAGTAAAGCGACTTGAACAATTTCTCGTTCCTGTTCAGTATAATTGTAGGAAAGGTCAGTAAAAATGCTCGCGGATGCATGAACAGCTAGAAATCCAGATCTAGTTTTTATATAAAACCTTCTTTCAAGCTGCCTCTTTTCCCCTGCTCGGCACTAACCCTGCCCTCATTTGGACCCCACCCTCCTCCCTCTTTCAAACTACCTCTTCGACTATTCTATTTTTGTCTTATTTCAGTCTCCTACTTGTAAGCACCTTATGGACAAATGTAGCTCTTCGCAACAATAACTTTTTACCGTGTGCGGATCTTGGTTTTTAACAGCCAGTCCAATGCTTTCACAAAGCGCATGATTTTCAAAAGAGAGTCGTGACTGGTTTCAATGTCAAGAAGCTTCTTTATGGAATAGTGTGACAGAATTTTTGTGTCAGGTCGAAATTTGAAAGCAATTTTAGTTTCAATTGGTCCTCTTTGTAGAAGCTTTTCTGAATTGCAGCCGCTGTCAGCTCAATTAAGGCAAATTCACGACTAACGGATCTTTTCAGTGTTTTCCGCTATCGGCATGGTTTAAGCAAGAGGTCCAAGCACTGTTCTTTGGAAACCACCCACTCCTCCCCCCTAAGGGCCGCATGCATTAACCTCCCCGCTTGGGAGGGGATCGCAGCTTAAAGGAAAGCTTTATATTTCGAAACTCCAGATACTGGATTTCACGCTGTGTACCTATCCGTAAGTATTCCTACTACTCTTCACTATGAACATGTTGAAGAGGAGCGAGAAGCTGTACGAACCGCATTTTCCAGCTTTTGTATGATCCCTGATGATCCCCGGCGCTTTTTTAAAATCATTTTTCTTTCTCCGAAGTTAACGAAAACTTTCCAAAATTGTACTGAACATCTAACACAACAGTGCTAAGCATGTTGCTGATGAGAACAAATGAGTTTTTGAAAAGTCGAATTTTTCGGTAAACCTCAAATTTCGACCTGTGGATCATCGAAAATTTCATGACTTCAAAACGTCATTTGTTCTTATCACGAACATGCTTAGCACTGTCGGGTTGGATAATCTGCACAACTTTGGAGGTTTTTCGTTAACTTCGGAGAAAGAAAAATGACTTTAAAGAAAAGCGCCGGGGATCATCAGGGATCATACAAAAGCTGGAAAATGCGGTTCGTACTGCTTTTCGCTCCTCTTCAACATGTTCATAGTGAAGGGTAACAGGAGTACTTACGGATAGGTACACAACATGAAATCCAGGTATCTGGAGTTTCGAAATATAAAGCTCTTTTAAGCTGCGATCCCCTCCCCGAGGGGGTGTTAGTGCATGCGGCCCTAAGAGTCCCAAACGACCCCTTCTTCCTACTTTTCACCTCCGGAATCTCAGAGTGTAAGATTCCAGAAAAACTCATCCTTTTCTAAAGAGTTTTTGAATTTTTGAGCTCTAAGTCGGATTTTCTGTAACTGCACTTTACAATCACACAGAATTTGACAGCTGATTTTGATTCGAATGGGTCCATTGAAAGGGCTATAATTTCCCTAAGGGCGAGGTATTTGGCTCCAAATTTTCACCGTAGCAAGAGACGCTATGGCTCAATATAAATACCAGGAACGGAGCGATTTCTGGATTTTGAAGACAAGTTGAAGGGGTCACGCACAAGGCTACAAAAACTCAGGCAGCCTAATTTTTTTTTTGAGGGTTTATGCCTGACCCCAATAACTTCCTCTCTGAGGAAGCTTTTTCAAATATATTTTACGTTTCGTTAGCACATCCCTCGAATATAGCACAGTAGGTGTTTGAGCTTACCTCAACTTGTTTCGGCTTTACGGTGGTCGGTGGAGTCGAACAACTCAAGGTGAGGAACGCGGTGGTTGAAATTTCGCAGTAACTAATCCACTATTTGAAAGTGATATGGAGCCTAATTTCTGCCATAGACTGTTAGAAAGTATTACTTCGTTATGCATGCAGAAAAGTTGTTTATTTTACTTTTGTGACCGAGTTAATCATGTTTGGAAATCATGCCTTTTAGAATTTAAAAAGCAATGAGAAATATTAAGTGGGTCCGAAAGTTCTGTCGTTTTATTTTCAAAAATTTGTAGCTTTGCATTTTTGCAACGGATTCACTTCATTATATTATTATTAGAAAGAGTAAATCCTTCGCTTTCACATGCTGCTCTGTGTAGCTTCTTCTTTGCACTGATTGCTGAGGGAAAATGGAAAAGTAAGACCATATAAGTTTCGACCATTTTGAGTTAGGTCACCAAAAATTTGAAATCGCCAGTACATTTGTTTTTTGGCCTACTCTTCACAAATGTGAAAAGTTTATGCTGTTTGGACGTCTCTGTGGGAAGTTATGATTTTCACGAAAATTGACAAATTAATTAATTTTGGCGTTTTCCATAGTAAACTCGAAACTAGAACTATTCATAACTTCTCACAGAGACGTCCAAACAGCACAACTTTTCGCAGATGCGAAGGATACGCCAAAAACATACGTACTGATGATTTCAGATTTTTCTGCAGCTTTCCAGCTTTTTGGTGGCCTAACTAAAAATGGTCAAAGCTTATATGGTCTTAGTTTCCATTTTTATCTCCGCATCTAGTGTGAAACAGAAGCTTCACAAAACAGCGCTTGAAAGCGAAAGACTTTTTCTTTCTAATAAAATTACAAGCAAGCAAATCCGTTGCAACAGTGCAAAGCTACAAATCTTTGAAAATTAAACGACAGAACTTTCGGATCCACCTAATATAATAAGTAATGGTTTCATGGGCTTATAGAGGTAATTGGGTGGGCTAATCGCGGAAATATACCACCAATTATGAAAGCTTTTTTGATGAACTTACAGTATGTTAAAGCAAGAGATGAAGAGAAGAAACTTGGCTGAGACTTCGTTAGTGGAGTTAATCAGTATGCTGTTTAGACAGTCATTCCTCATTATTTTTGCGATGCGGTTGTGATATTCGTTAGTCTAGCGCTTTTCTTCTTCAGAATACTTGATCGTAGTATTTTCTCAATTTCTTAAACAAATTCGGTTCTTGATTATGACCAGGGCCCGGCACAGATGGTCTGAGGTCAAACTGGACTTCGTTTTCAAAGTTAAAAGCAAGGGGGATATCGTTTTTGTAAGGTTCTGGGGGAAGCGCCGAAAAAAAAAACGACGAACATGTTAGGTTTCACGAGTTGAGCGTGTTCTCTCGTAAGCGCGCGAATTTCGAAAGCAAGACTCAAACAAACAAATGGCTTTTTTACAGAGCACAAACAATCATATGGCTCCGAATTTGGGCTATGTGTATGCAATATTACTCCAAACTATGTTATGTAAAAAGTTTCGAAAACTTATGTGTCCTGATATCCGTTCCCGAATTTGTTGGTTTCTAGACCAACACCAAACCAACTGGGTTGGTTCGAAGCATAAATATCGAAG